GGAGTGTTCGCTTGCCGCGACACAATCCATCAATGAACCCTCACTCCCTATTTATACGCCTGTCCCCCCTTCGTAGTGATCCCCTCTGCTGTTCCTCCGAGAGCTTCCCCTCAGGGGACACTCAAAAGCCGATTACCGTATAATGTAAAGTTGCCATCCCGTGTATGGTCGCGACAATAAAACCATTAGGACAAGCAAACTGTTAGGTTCTCGTAACAAATCATAGTCGCGAAATTTAGTGTTTTAGTCACTGTTAACTACACTTGTTAGAGCTTAATAGTTTTACAGACCAGGTTTTTGTTATTGGAAGAAACTCGTAACCGTGACGATCGTACTTCATGGCCTATTCCTATCTACTATAGAACTGATCTGTCTGGGAACAAAGAAGGTATTAAATGGCTAAACTCAGGAAAGTCACATGGTCAGTTTACAAGTGATTATTAAGTAGAAAAAAGTTTGTGGATTCTAAATTCTGAAAATAACTGCTAAATATGTATTAGGCTAAAAAGTTTTACATTTGCCTCTTTTTCGGGATTACTGTCACTAGAACTATACGGAGACAGTTTGCTGTTTCAACTATGTTTCAGTTCTGAAAGTTTTCAGCTTCCCTTACCCCGGTTTTTTTCGCTAAAATTTTTAAAAAGAAATTTCTTTTGAAATTTTTTGACAAGCATAGTTTTATAATCAGTTAAAAGTCGTAATAAAAGAACCATGTGCAATTAATTTTCTATTTCCGTTTATCCATTGGTAGCAAAACCTGTTTAAGGAGCCATGAAGCTGTTTCCAGCAGACAAATTAATAAAGTGCACTGCACTATTTCGCAGTGCAGTAACTATCCAGATAATCATGCTAAGCGGAATACTTTTTTTATTAAGGATTCTATTTTTAAGTCTAGGTAGATAAAAGTTTGTGTCAGTTAATTATACAATTGAAAATCAAACATTGAATAGTATTAAAATTATTCTCGGCTATCCTTCATCGGAGTGATAAACTTTACAGCAAATTCATAGATTTAAAAAGATTTTTTGAAATTATTGCTTTTAGATTCATTCAAAAAAATTTAAATCAAATTAAGTAAAAAAATCTGTTTTAATTTTCTTTGGTTATTAGTTACTGTCTATCAGTTTAACAAAGATTTAACAAACTATTTTAGATTGCTATTCATAACACTTTGTTTGTTTGAAATCTTTTGCCATAAATAGTACTGTTTGTAGTTGTAAAAGGAGCAACAGTCATGCTTTTAACTAATTTATCTAGACTGTTTGGAATGTGAAATTTTTTAAAAAATATGTTTTTCTTGGCAGAAGAGGTAAAAGTTAATTTTTTTTTTGTTTTTCTGCTTAATTGTTAGCTGTTTTGTGGTTGGGAAAATATGCTTGCAGGTCGTATAAAGATACGGAAAAACGTAAAATGGGTAGTGGCTAATGCTCGAGCAAAAGGATATTACAGAGTGTTATACGACCAGCAAGTTTACAAGGAGATAATACGTCAATTAAATGAACGTCATACGGTATGAGCAACATTTTATTTTAGAAAACTTTCTTGAATAGATTCTTCTTAGACACTAACTAAAAAAATTTACCTTTGAAAGTTTTCAATGTATAACTAATTACTTGGATGACAGGTTTGCTAACCAGTACTCACTTATATTCCTCCATCTTTCTTAATGAACTTTTTAAATGATTGTCAGATATATAAGTTCCAATCAACTTTGACTTCGCTGCATTTACATTTTTACACTCAATAAAGTGAATTCGCAAACATTAGATAAATCGTTCAGGCCTTTTTTGCTGTTGAACGAGCTTCTATAATAAACGATGCCTTCGCTTTTGCAAAAGCTGGTCTTCTACCGATTAATACCGTTAGCTTTGTTTTTCCGATTTTCAGTAACTTATTTTTCTGAGTGATGCTCATGACCAACTAATTAATAAGAAATATACAAAAATGTAATTGAAATTAGGCAATGGACATAATTGGATATGTGGAAAAGAGCGATGAAGTTGATCGAATTCCGTGGAATGTGATAATTACTCAGTTAAATTTACTGATTTCATTGACTTACGAAACTCGAATCTATGACCCGTTACAGGTTTGCCTTTCAGTACTTCATCTATATGTTATCAGAATCTTTCAGCAGATTGCGGTAAAGATAAAATATATAACTTTTTTTGCTGAAAAAAATACTGTGAGTGCATTCGTACAGTGAAAAAACTTTTGTGAGCCTACACCAATACTTCAATGCATAAGAGATGTTATTTTTAAGTTTTTATAATATCAGTAATAAAAAATTTAACAAGTATGTAGAAAGATCTACAATTTCACATTTTTACAGCGTTATATGCGTTCACTAGTATTAACTATATATGACAAAATGGGATGGGAACAAAAAGCCAGCCACATCGATCGGCTTCTGCAAACCGAAATATTATCGTTTGCCTGCAAGATTAGTGTCAGTGATTGCAAAAAACAAGCAAAAGACCTGTTTTATCAGTGGAAAAATAATAAAAGGTTAGTAATGAAAATATGTTGGTGCTTAACGGGCAGAATTTTCATACTTTTTGTACAAGTAAACTTTCTTTTATACTTTGCCGGCCACAGTATACTTTTTAATGACCTAATTTCGTAATTAATCTGGATTTAGATGCGTTGAATAAAAGTTTTTCAAATTATTTCTGAATTTAAAAGCGGCTAAATTCAATAGAAAAGCAATTACCAATAAAGTAGCTTTTGTGCAGAAATTGATTGATTTTGTCATCGTTTCGTTTAAAAAAAAGATTATAGTTTCTGTTTTTACCTCTTGTCTTATCCAAGTGACTCTTTTACCTCAATTCGCTCGCTTTTTCGCAGTGTCTTTTTAAAAAAATACTTTTTCAGTGTTCCAGTAGACCTCCAGCCATTAATTGTAGAGGAAGGCGTTAAACAGGGTTCTAAAGCTGATTGGGAATTTGTTCTCGAAAAGTATAAAAATGCAAAGATTCCTTCGCAGAAGTTTTTATTACTTGGAGCTTTAACAGGAACTACTGATCTTCGACTTATTAACAGGTTCAAGGCTGCGAAAAGTCAAGCTTTTTATAAAATTTATCTTGATCAATATTGTGTATGAGCAAAACCAATTGTAAGTAATGATGATAACAAAATTTTAAACTTAGATCTTTGGATATGTGTTTGGACAGCTCTTTAGTGAGACCTAATATATTGCCAAAAGCTCTTGGACTTTTAATGCAAAATCGTGTAGCGCAGGAATATACGTGGAGGTTCTTCAGAATGTATTTTAACGAGTTTCATAAAGCGTAAGCAAAATTGAAGAATTTTTTCTTTGTTGTTTTTTCAAGAACAGTTTGAATAAATGTTTTGCAGACTTGGAACAACCACGATGCTTGGAATGACCATAAAGTCAATTATTGAGAACTTCAACACTGAATTTGATTTAAAAGAAGCAGAAAGTTTCTTTGCTGGAAAAGAGGTCTTTGTTTTTGTAACTTCACTGCCTGTTTCATTTTACGCATTTTTAAAAACCCTGTTTCTTTACGGCTACAATGTGTTAAATTTTTGGTTAGTTATCGTGTTATTTGTCATTTTAATAAAGTACAGAAATTTCAGTTAGGATCTTCGCAGTCGAAATTAAAGCAGGCGTTGGATTCCATACGTGTTAATATCCAGTGGCGGAACCTGAACCAGGAAGCATTGAGTAGCTGGTTAAAACGGCGTTATGATAGGCAGATCTCCTAAATTTTGAATTTTTTCTTGCTCATTACTGTCTTTAATGTATCTCTTATAGGATTTCAAAAAATTAATTTTACGTTTCAATTACAGTGAGCACTTTATACTTTTTTTTAACCTATAGATTTAGGCAGCAGGCGTACTTGTCATCATAAACTTTTTTTTTTTATAGTTTTTTATTTGACAACCACTGTCAAATCTGTGCCTTAATAATTTACTTTCACAAATTTTTTTGCTCTTTTTTTATAGTTCTAAAAATTAAAGTAGAGATTATTGACGTAATCTTTATCTTTGAGATTTTTAAGTCACAAACTAATATAATTATCTAAAACGACAAATTAGCGAAACTATTTGAGGTTTTTAAGCAAAACAATGTTTTATTTTTGTTGGTTTTGTACGTATCGTTTTTTTATGTTTTAAATAATTATACAGCATCTATAGATAGTTCTGGAAAAAAGGTCCAGGTAAAATATAATAATTTATCTGCTGGTTTATAACATGAAAATAACAACAATTCATCGAATCGTAAGCTATTGACTGTTCGTCTAACAACCAAACTTAAAAGAAACACTAATTAGACGCTGATTGAGCATATTTTTAAAAACAGTTTATTTGCATTGTCAATCTTTTTTTTTGGTGTAGACAAATGGAACAGTTTCTCTGAAGTTTTATTACATTTTGAAGCGTGGTTACTCTCAAAATATAAGTAGCGTTCAATTCTATAAAGACATTCGTTTTTGGCTTTCATTTAACGTTGATTTTTTCATAGTGAAAATTAGCACTAAACACGTTGTTTCTTTACCTTTTTACCTCACTGCCTTTAAGAGTTTGATGAAACTACAAAATGTACGTTTCAATTGGATGTTAGGTGTCATGAGCCTTACTAAAGAACATTTTTAATTTTTGTTAGTTTTTGCTTGATGGTTTTAAAATTTTGAAGAATCAGTTACAGTTACCGAGATTCTCAAGCTATGCATAACTTTTGAAACACTTATTCAGGTGTGGCAATAGTTGGTTTATCACTGTTGGTCTCTGAGAAGTCGGAAAAGAAATTGACCATTTTTCGCTGTGGAACTTCTTTTGACTTATTAGAAATTACACGGTATAAAAGCGGGATAAACATATAAATCGTTCGCTCTTTCACTGCTTTGTACAAATTTCTTCTTTAGAAAAAACAAATACTAAAATAAGCAGCTTAATCTTGAAAAAAATATGTGTGCCATTAACTTCTAAAAACTGGATTGTTTTTTGGAAACTAACTAAGCTAATGTTCATATTGGCAGTAATTCCCTAAACTTGCAGTTTGTAGATATTTCTGTAAAAAGTTGAACAGCTGAAAAGATTACAAGAATAAACAGATAAAGGTTAATCTTTTAAAGTTGTATCTAATTCTTTTGAATTAATAAGAATTGCGGGCAACAAAGCAGAAAGCACCGTAGAAATGTCAAATTTGACAATTATATTAAATAGATGAAAAAAAAATTTCAAGTGTTTTTAAACAATGCTTTGCTGTAATTAACTGGCATTTTTTAAAAGTGTTTATAACACTAAAAACTACAGTTATTTACTAATTCAACTTACAATTTTTAGCTTATTTTAATTGTGTAGCCTTTTTTTTTTTGTTCTACTTCTACCTACTAATAGCATAAAATACTCTCAGTAAAATCTCACTGTGTCATAGTTTAACTTTGTACAGTTGACTAATTTGGAAAGCTTATTTTTGACACTAAAATAGCAGACTAGGTGTAGCCAACAAAGTTTGATAGCTGTTATCTATAGCTACACTTTAACTTCCTTATAACTTCTTTTTGAGTCGTAAGGTTCGAATTAAAGATAGAAAACGGTTTTTTTTTAGCTGAAATTTCAGATGAGGAAAGTTTCATAAAACTTTACAAAAAGTTGTTCAATAAATACGATTTCAAAAATGCATTTCATTTTCGCAAAAATCACCATTATTTTTAAAAATTACTTCTTATTTTTTCTGACTTTTGTTTTTCTATTTTGCTATCTAAAATTTTTAGGTATCAATAGTTCAAAGAAAGTTGTATAAAAACATTCACGTAACTACAGTCGTTGTTCAGTATTCCTTTTACGTTTTTTTCTGCAGTAAACTCAGTCTTAAAAATACTTAAAATCCAATAAATTTTTTAAAAGTAAAAAATAAAAGATGCAAAAAATAAAAAGAATTTACAGGTAAGTCTGCTTCTAACAGACATAAAACTTTGTTACAGCGTACATTTATAGTAATTCCTAAACAGTGTACTTTTTTCAATTTCAATGAATTACACAATATAAAGTATTGATAAATAAAAAAATATATTTGTTTTTATAAAATTAGCTAAAATTTTTACTATAATTTACAGCATTTCTTTCGATAATAGTAGCAAGTAATATTTGGAATTTTTTGCATTTTTTCTAATATTGATAAACTTCATAACTGTTAACACAAAGAACTGTATTTACAGTCTTATAATACCAAAGTCTGTATTTTACATTGCTAAACCGCCTATACACACTAAACTAATTATCTGACTTTTAAAAATTTTATTGCAAATTAGTGAAGGTGACCTAACTTTGCAACATTTTTAGACTGGCTTTTTGTCGATGAAGAGCGAATTTAACAATTTCTTACATACGGTGAATGCTACAGATAATGCAGTCATCTAACAATTAAATAATCATTTTTCAAACAACTGTATCGCCAGTTCTACCTTGTAAATAAGCTTCAACTTCTAATAGATCATAAACTGAGCTTTCCAACAAGTATTGCAGGAATCATCAGTCAGGAACAAGCTAAGAAGTTGTGACTTCAATATTTTCAAGTTTGACCTTTTTTAACAAGAACGTTATCACGTAATTGATAGAAAAACTGTAAATTCACTGACAATTTTCAAGCAGGTTTAAAAAAATTAGGCAAATAAAAAAAACAGGCTGTATTTCGGAACTGTTTTGGAGTATTGCAGCAAGTCGGAGACCAGAAATTGCTGTTATTTTAAAAATACATAGCCAAAATCGTTCTATAAAAAACTTTTTTTGAAAAAAAAAAAAAAAAAAAA